TCAAAGCTCACGATAGAAATCATGTAGCTTGTCTGGGCTTCACCAGGCTGTGTATTGCTCTCACAAGAACCTGCTGTAGTTACAATCATTCACCCACTCACAAGTGGGGAAACTGAGGCCCAGGCCAGCTGGGAAGAACCGGAGTCAGGAAGGGCATGCAGATTGCCTCACCCAAGTCGCTTGTTCTTCCACCCACCACCTGGTCTGCAGGCAGGCCGTGTCCAATAGGGACTGCAAGATGACCTGGTAAGGACCCAAGCAGGCTCCACCCATTGAAACCCAGCACATCCACGCTGGGCCAGAATTGCCACAAGCATCTGGCAAAGTGCTGCCAGCAGATGAGCTGATTATGCAGGAGAATACAACTAGATGGGGAGCCCAGGTGTCACACAACACTGCTCTCTTCATCAAACTGGGAGGACATGTGGACCAGTCCACCCTGTGGTAGGACCAGGGCCTGTGGTCACCAGGAGCTCTAGGGCTCCAGGGCCATGAGCATCTCTTCACCTCCCATAGTGCACAGACTCCCATTGTGCACAGAACCCAGAAACATCTCAGGACAGCTGTGGAAACACAAATGCACATAAGTGTGCTTTCATGCTCCCACACATATGTGCAGTTACACACACAGTTGTTCATGCATACGGGCATAAAGCACATACAGGGACATGGGCACCACACGGGCAAGCACATTACACATACCCAGTCTTGACGTGTACATAGCATCCATGAAAACAACCCTGGAACTGACCTGTTTGCTGCCTTCACACACACACTCCTCAGGTGACTACGATACCACCATGAGGGGTCTGGGCAGTGTGCCACATGCAGATGAGAGCCAGGCCAGAAGACAAGAGCTGCGTGGCACCTCCTTTCACATATGTACCCCTCCCCAAGCTTCTAGAATCTTGATGTTCCAAGAGGATTTAGGGGAACCCTTCCCTTTTGCAAGTTACTACAGAGCAGAGCTTGTGAGACAGTCCTGCACCCCCGAGCCTAAGTCACTGCCTAAGAGGCATTTGCAGAGCCACCCAGTCAGCCTCGGGCCCCCTCAAGTGACACACGCTCGTCATTCCAATTTCCAGGAATGAAAACTGAGGCACAGCAACTCATCCTGGCCCAGTTAACCCCTCCACCTCAGAGGCAGAGACGGTACGTGCCGGCTCCTCAGCTGTGCACAGCCCCCGGAGCCACAGCAACCTCACCACCAAGGAATGTCCCCCACAAATCATCGCCAGAGTTCCCACAGGCCAAGCCAAAAGCCTATCTGGTCTGTATCATATCCTACCAGCACAGTGCCAGGTCCTGCCTCCCATCCTGGGCGGGATGGGGATACCAGAGACAGCTAGCAAAGCTCTGGAGACCCCCTACTTCTCTTTCAGTGGCATTTCTGCTCTCCTGGTGTAGGGTCACCAAGGCAGGCAGGAACTGGGGGCCTGCCAACCCACTAATGAGGGGCTTTCCAGCCACGGCAGACAGCCCAGAGTGAACGTCCTAGGACAAGTTGGGAATATCCAGCTAGAAAGGAGGGACAAGAGGAAGATTAAAGTCAGAGGGAGAGGACCCAGTGGGGAAGGGTAATAAAACGCAAAGGGGGTCAGGGCCAGGCCACCAGGGACCCCCATGGAGACATCCTCCAAGTTGGTTCCACAGGATCCAGCATGTCCAAGGCGGCCTAAGAACAAGAAGAAAGATGTGCGGTTCCAGGAGGGAATCAGAAACCCCTTCACCACCGCCCCCAGCATCTCCAGGCCAACGCAAGCTAAAAGCCTGTGGTACTGGAAGGTTCTGCTGATGGTGAAGTAGCTGGGTGGTCCAGAAGGAGATGCAGAGACTGACACCCACTGAGTTCCTTCAGAAGGTCACAGACCTCCAAAGGGAAGTGGGAAGGGAGGGGGAGGGGAGGGAGGATAGGGGAGGAGGAAGGGAAGGGTATGGGGGAGGAAAGAAGGAGAATGCCGGTAGAAGAAGCAGAAGGAAAGAGCATTTGCAGTGGAAGGAAGAACTCTGCACTGGCCAAACAGAACACCCCATCTGTCCCCTGGGGTCCTGCCTGGGCTGCGCCCCCAAGCTGGGACTATAGCCTAGAGTACTGGTTCTCCCAGGGGAAAGCAAAGAAATGGGTGTGAAACCAAAGACCAGAATGCCAGGCAGGAGGGTAGCCCTTCACTCAGGGCTCTGACCAGGCAGTCAGAGGCTCTACTCATTCACTGCTGAGCTTCTGTCCAGATAGGTACCCACGAACTAGCCACCAGCATTAACTGCGCCCAGAGTCATCGACGGGCAGGTTGGACAAGCCCACATTACAGCAAACAGTGTCCTGGGGTGGGCACGATAATGCTTGCCTGGCGCACCAGGCACCGCTTGCCATCCCTGATGTGCTATGAGGGGACCAGGTTAGAGCCTTACCATCCCTACTCTGCTCAACAGTCTCCCACAAGAGGGAACAGGCTGATGCAGCGAGGAGAGACAGAATGGAGAAAGAGGCCTCCAGCCAGAGGCAGGGGCAGGCATCGGGCATCAGCTGGCCTCCGCTAAGGGTGTGGTTATGAGGAGCATCCAGAAATATCTACAGGGTGGGGTGGAGAGGCAGGCTCTGGCCAGCGCCGCAGGGCCAGCCTCCAGGACAACATCATCAGGGAAAAGGCTGTGAGCTAGCCCCACAGCTGGGCAAGAACAGCTGGAGGGGGCCCATAGCTCCAACCCTGCAACCAGAGTAATACAGCCTGACAGACAAGAGGGCTTCTACAGGGAGCTGAGCGGGGAAAGTGAAGGAGGGATGGAAGGAGGACAGAGGAGGGAGGGAGGACCCAAGGATGTCCCTGTAGCCAACTCATTGAGTCACAGGAAACTTAACCATTCAGTATCTGTCAAGTCTCACAAAACTTGGCTGCCTTGCCCTGCAAATTATTGCAAAAAGAAGTCATGTGACTCGAGCCCACCAATAGCACATGGAGGAGATGACCTCAATTTCCAAATATTGGGGTCACGTTTCATTTCCCATTACCAGCCCCCCCCAAGACTTTTAGCAGCTCCCCCTGCAATCTGATTTCTCACTCCTTCACACACTTGGCCAAGAAGGAGGCTGAAGAACTGTGCTCACAGAAAACTCAGAAAACATCTGGCAGATCCCGAGAGGGAGAGCAGAGCAGAGCAGGGTCTGCCTGGACTTTCTCCTGACTCGCCTGCCTCGAAAGTGGGCTGCTGTCCCTCCGGCCAAGCACTGAGAATGGCTTCAAAGTGGGTCCCACCACAGGAGCAGGAGAAAGCCTCCTAGAGCCCACCCAGAAACCAGTTTCTTTGCATACTTCAGTAAGCCTTTGTTGTCCAAAGCAAAAAGTCTAACACCGCAGCTAGGACCCAGGCAGCCCCTTCTGAGTGGCCACACCCTCAACAGCCAAGGGAAGTAGGGGTGGGGGTGACCTAGCACAAGGATGGAGAGAAGCAGAGAAGTGGGTGGCCACAGGGCAGAGCAGGGCTGGAGTAAACGGTTGATGCCAGGAATGCCCTACCTATGCCCATAGTAACCCCAGCTTCTGGGGTGAGGATTCCCCTGAAGGATTCCCTCCTGAGGTTCTAGGGAAACCCCACTAGAGGAGCCAGGAAGGGATGGTTACCAGGGGAGCATTGTGGGAGTGGGGGGAGGTGGGAGACTGACCCTATCCTGTCTCTCCTTCACTTTTCTGAGAGTCTCCATCATCCCCTACTGATAACTGAACCCTGCAAAAATCCAGGTCAGTTAGTCTAAGTCACAGTAAAGTGGACATCAGCCATGCTCTCCCTCCATTCCCCAAGGCCCTGGAGCCCCTTCCAGGCCACTTTTGTTTATATCACATACCCACTGGGCACTAACGATGCCAGGAAGCAGGAGAAGAATATTATAATTGGCCATGGAGCATGGAAAATGGTTCTCCCACTAGTCCTGGGAGTGCCAGCTAAGAAGAGCCTTGTCCTGGACAAGAGCTGTCCAGTCCACTGCAGCCACCCGCTGTTCTGCAGCCTGAACTCCTAACTGCCTTCACCTCTCCTATCAGCGCATGCCTGGATGCCTTCCTGCCCTGGGCCATGGTGCTTAGGGGTCTGGGAAGATTTATCCCACAGCTAACTAACAAAAGTGATGCTGAGAATTGCATCGCTGCCCAGACGTGTGCTTGAAAGTGTTGGAACCCAGACAGGGACAGTCAGTGCCTCCCTGATTCTTCCCAAGGGATCAGGGCTCCTTCGAAGGGCCCATTCTGGCAGGAGGAGTCTCACATCTGCAGATCATCTGAGCAGTTCCCAGTCCAGACTCCTGGCCCGGCTCTCCGTTCAATCCATCTTTGGGCAGAGAGCCCAAGAAAACTACCACTAAAGGGGTTAGGAGGTTTGCGGTCTGCTTAGGACCAGAGTTGGCCTGCTACCTAACAGGGCTCCACAGTGCCTCCTGAACGCTTGGCGGGGACTACAGGGAACCTCGTCCCCTGGGAAAGTAAAGAGTCAGCCCAGACAGCGGGAGGGTGTGTGCGGAGGGAAGTCCATAGCTGGGGATTCAAACTTCTGGGATCCCTTTCACCCCCAGGAGTCCCCAAGGAATTGAATGTCTTTGACTCTAGGGGGCGGCCCTTCCCAGTTTTCAAAGGGGAAGTTTCTACGGAAGGGCTGCATGGGATGCAGCGGGTCGCCTGTGATGTGGGACAGGGAATGTGAGGTTTGGGGACAAAAGTGTGACCACCTCTGCTCGAATCTAACACGAGGCGAACTCTTCCTTGGCTCGCGCGACAGCCCCACCCAACTGGCCCGTTTGAGGAGGGGGGCGGTACGCCCGCGGGGATGGAGTTGGCCGGGTTCCCTCTCCCGGGCCCCCAACGAATGGTATTCGTTGTCTTGCCCGGTGCATTCCACAGGCCAAGGGGGAAAGTTCTGCAGGCTCGGAGGAGGCCGGCGGCGAAAGCGCCTTGGATGACAGCGGCGCGTTCTACAGTCCCGGAGGCCCGGTCCCCCCGAGTCCTGAGCGCCCTTACCTGCGCGGCTCGGAGGCGGCGCCCACAGCAGCAGCAGGAGCAGGAGCAGAGGCGGGGACAGAAGCGGGGCGCCCGGGCGCGCAGCTTTCCAGCGGGTGTGTACGTCCATACCAGCGGGGTGAGCGGGCCGGGGAGCGGGGAGGCGCACGCGATGCACGGGACCAGGGACACGGCCCGGGTGGTGGACACAGAGAGGAGCGCGACAACTTCAGGGAGTCATAGGAAGCTCGGCGCCCGCCCTATCTTCCCCGCGGCGGTGTCTGTCCTGGAAGGGGCGGCGGGCGCGCTCGCCCACGGCGCGGGGATCGACTTTGGCCCGGGACGGCCGGGACCCCCTCGCTGACTGCTCTCGCGCGCCCTGTCCTCCTCCTAGTCCCTTGGCCTCCTCGCCGCTGCCACCCCGCGACCCGATCCCCGTGGGCGCTCAGCTGGAGTGAGGTCCTGCGCCAGTCGCGGGGACGAGGAGTGCGGACCTCGCCTTCGGCGCCCAGCACTTTTTCCCCCTTTCCCTCCCTCCCTCACTGCTGGCAGACACGGTGGAGGCTGTCTATCCCCAACGCCCGCAGCAAATCAGAGCCCAGCGCCCCGCTCAGCAAAGCCGGCCCCCGCCTCCCACTGGGCGCCGCGGGCGAGGGGGTGGGGACAGCGGGCGAGTCGCGGCGAGGAAGGGGCTGGCCCGGGGCGGGAGCGGACGTGGGACGGGGGCGGCGCCCCCGTTCTTTCTCCCCGCTCTGGGCGGCGGCCTTCGGAGCCCGATGGCCCACTCTAGTCCTCTATTCTTCCCGCCCCAGGTGCCCCGACGTGGACAAACTCCAAGAACCAGCGTTGAGCCCCCCGCCCCCGCCCAACTCCCTGGCCAAAGTTTGATCGCTTGAGTTCCAAAGAGAGAGATTGCTCTACCACGCCGAACTTTCTCTTTAAGGAGGAGTTCCGAGAGCTCCTCTTCTGGGCGGAGACTCAACTTGCAACTCAGCCAAAAGGGGCTCCCTAGACTGTGACTGACAGGTCAACCTAGCGTTAGGGACCCGCCTTCCACCTCTCCCCCACCTCGATTGTCAAGGATGCCCAGAGGGGCCTCAAGTGGACATAGGGTAACCACGTTATTAGATGAAGTTAGCCTCAAATCCCACCCCACCCTCTGCCTACTGTCCCTGGCGGCCCAGTCACTTGTAAGGAAAAGGAGGCCAAGGGAGAAGTCCCCTTCCAGAGCTGACAGCTCCCCATTCAGAGCAAAGAGAGACAGGAGTTTCTCCCAGATTTCTCCAGGCCCAGGACGCCCTGCTAATGTCTGACTCACGGCCCTGCCCTTCTCCAAGAGCTTCAGGGTTTGTTTAGACAGAATCAGAGTGAATTAAGAAGGCTTTCAGACTCAACGCCATTGCTGCTTTTGAACACATTGCAGTCGGGAGGATTTGGGAGTGATGGGGACCTGACTGTGACTCCTTTCTTCTCTTGTATCTTCAGACCGCTGTGAGATTCACTAAATGCCCTTACCTCTCATCATTCTTCCAACGAGGAGGGTACAGGTAGTCAGGGGGTAGAGGCAGTCGGGGCAGAAGCAGTCAGAGGACAGGCAGTCAGGGGACAAGCAGTCAGGGAACAGGCAGTCAGGGGGTACAGGTAGTCAGGGGGTACAGGCAGTCGGGACAGAGGCAATCAGAGGGTACAGTCACTGAAAGGAATTGTTAGGATGGCGGTGCTCTGGTTCTTGAATCTGAACATAGGTGACTAGTACTAACTTCAGCCACACTTTGCTTAAATTAAGTGGGGACATACCCTACAGTGGTCATCGTACAGTGCATAGGAGCGAGGAGGAGGGTTGGGGTGCAGCTCAGAGGCTGTGTAAGAAGGCAGCACAGAGAGAGGAGAGGTAAAAGCAAGCATGAGAGCAAAAGCAAGATTACAAACCCAGGCAAGGTGCAGTAAATGTTAAAAGGCACCTCGTATAGTTCAGATAAATGGTTAGGGAATCCGTGTATGTGTGTGAGTTGTATGAATGGCAGTGAGATGTGTACATGTGTGTATATGTACACAAGTGGGGCGTGTACATACATGTATGTTGTGTATACTGTTTGCCTGTGTGTGCATGTCATGTGGAATGTGTGCATCCATGTGTACATATATAAGTGTGTGTGCACAAATGTAAAGTATATGTGCATTGTGTATGATGTGTTTGAGTTAAGTGCATGTGTTCATGTGTGTGTTACATGTACTATAGGCATGCATGTGTGTTGATGAATCTGAGACCTCTGACCCTCTCTTTCCCATGCACCTCACTGAGTGAAACTTTCTGGCACTCCATGAGGCCCCGCCACATCCCTTTGATCTGGGGTAGCCCTGCCCCCACCTACAAGAAGATCAGCCTCTCCCTGTGGACAGGTAGTGCTGCCACAGGTCAGCAACATGGTTACCAGCAGTGTGACCTTCCCAGGTCTACCTTGGGGAATGCCTCACTTTTCCCCAAGCACGCATGAGCTTCTCTTCTGACAGTCTGGAAGCTGGCCCCTGAGAAGCCAACTTAAGTGTACATTCCAAGGTCCTGGAATGTTCTTGTCAGGAGCCCTGGGAAGCTTGGGTTTGTGGCTCATGACACAGACATGTGCTGGACAGTTTTATGTCAACTTGACACACGCTAGAGTTATCTGAAAGGAAGGAGCCTCATGAGATGACCTCTGTAAGATCCAACTGTAGGGCATTTTCTTGATTAGTGATTGATTGGGGAATGGCCATCCCACTGTGAGTGGTGCCATCCCTGCACTGGTCATCCTGGGTTCTGTAAGAAAGCAGGCTGAGCAAGCCATGGGGAGCAATCCAGGAAGCAGCACCCCTCCGTGGCCTCTGCATCAGCTCCTGCCTCCATGTTCCTTCCCTGCGTGTGTTCCAATATTGATGCCTTTGATGATAAATTGTAAGCCAAATAAATCCTCTCCTCCCCAAGTTGCTTTGGTCATGGCGTTTTGTCAAAGCAATAGACACCCTAAGATACATGTTTTATCTTCTCTGAGGAGTAAGCCACACAGTGACTAGGCCATGCTGGCAAACAAAGTTCCTAATGGGGTCCAAACTTGAATTTGGGAGAAAGGAGTTCTTATCTCACCAGGAAAGTCAGAGAAAAATCTCCCAGTTGGGTGTTTTGATGTAGGGACAGATTGGTAGGGGGATGGGCTCCCTTCCATTGTTGAGTTCCATGGGGATGGGAAAACCTCAGTCATGTGTAAGACTTTCACCAAGGTCGGCTGACACCACCCCACACAGTCCCCAACCTACATCAGGTCCACGTCACAAGAGAGCTCACTCCTCCCATCTATAGGTGAGGAAGTTGCGAGTCAGAGGGCGCAAGGGGTCTGCTCAGAACACCAAATCTATGACTCAGTTCACTGTGGCAGAGCCAAGATGAGTGCCCAGTCCCTGCAGCTGCTCTCTAGGCACAGTATTCTTATCCTTTCCTGGTAGACAGACTCCAAACACCTGCCTCCCAGCAGAAGCATCCAAGTCACATCCTACTCAGGTACAGGCAGCCCCATACCCAGCATCCTCCTGTGCCCATTGGCATCTGGCTATAATGACGAGTCCTTGGAAATCTACTCATTGTTCAGCCTGATTGCCAGTGTGACTTTAGGCTCTAGGGGCCTGCAAGCTGCCCATGGACTGCACCTGCACCAGCTGTCAATGCTGCACCAGGGTCCATGGTCACGGGAGTAGTCTGTGCTTTCCTCTTTCTGTCTCGCCTGGCCCTATGCACTTGCTAGCGGCATTCAAAATGGAAGGGCTGACCTCCATCCAGTGGCCCCTGCATGTCCCAGCCAATCATACATGCCGTTACCCTTTGTCGTAGAACACGGTCCTGCAAGCAAAACAGCTGCCATTATCATCAGATCAGTTGTAAAGTCCATCATGGTTAGACTTGTGGACTATCGCTGTGCTCTCGTGAAAAGAGTGTGTGGGGAAGGTCATTGGGCCTTGACTTGAGACTCCAGGGGAAGACGAGGCAAAGAGGGAGCTCTGAGGGGTAGGAGGTGTTTCTCTCCTTCTCAAAACGTATAAAGTATCCCAAACTGCTGTCCTTAGGTAGGGCTCCACTGGCCCTCCAACAGGTCACAGGCCTCTGTGGCTCTACAGTAGACACAGAAAGTCATGCATTAGCTGTGGCTCTGAGTTATGGCTAGGGATATTCATGCCAGCGGGGTTGCCTTTGTGTTATGCCCAGGGAATAGCTCTATCCGTCCATCCTTCCGCTAGTGTTCAGAGGTCGGGTCAGTGCCACGGTTGCACATACCACTACTGCCAGCCCTGGACACACGAGATGCTTGTCCCCTGTGAACTGAGGTGGTGAAACCGACTCTGGGATTCCCAAAGACTCAGATGAGAAGCTAAGTGGCAGGTTTGGGACAGAAGGGAGAGGATAGCCCTGGATTTTTCCCTCTGAGTGTCCAGCCACTCCCTGCACCAAGCTGTTTCCATGTCCTGTTCACCAAGACTGGCTTCTTTAACCTAGTCTGGCTAGCCTTTCCCCACCAGGGCCAAACAAGCCTTTGAAAAATGATGGGATTTCCAGGCAAAACAGCCCAGGAGACAGTAGGCTGACTTTTGGCATGAAAAGCAAGTTTGCAGAGAATCAGACGACAGCGTCCTGAGATGCGTTTTCCAGACGGTGGCAGCTGGCACACGGATCGTCTCCCGTAGTCTGTTTTACAGAGCCGGCTTGAGACTGCAGGCCAAGGAAAATGTCCATGGGAGAAATTCCTGTTTTGTCTCTTTAAGAACCGCCTGCAGAGGTAGGGATAGCACCATACTGCAGAGAACTGTCTACAGGATCAGTGAAGTCACCAAAATCCCTGTTTGTCTGGGACGACCCTCTCACACAGGACTCTGATCTCACCAGATCTGCCCCACAGGATGGGATGTGCATGGTGGCCAGGATTGTAGGCAGCTCCTGCCGAGCCAGCCAGCCCTTGTGTGGGGAGTTTGGGGATGGATAAAGTCCCAGGAGGAAGAGGCCTTATAGCACCTGCACTCAGAAAACAGTCACTTTTAGGAAGGTGTACGAATTAGTCTTTGTCACCTTGACACAAACCACAGTCACCTAGGAGAAAAGCACCTCAGCTGAGGAATTTCCTCCCCAGATTGCCCTGGGACACACCTGTGCATCATTTTTTTTGTGATTGTTGATTGATGTGATTGACATGGGAGGGCTCAGCCCCCCCCGTGGGTGGTGCCATCCCTGGACAGGTGGTCCTGGGAGATATAGAAAGGATAGTAGAATCTGAGATTGGGAACAAGCCAATCATCAGGATTCCTCCATGGTCTCTGCTTCAGTCTCCACCTTCCGGGTACCACTTGAGTCCCTCAGCGATGGACGGTGGTTGGGGCTTGTAAGACAAATAAACCCTCTCCTCCTTAAGTTGCTTCTGGTCATGGTATTTATCACCACCATAGAGAAACAGTACAGGAGAAATAGAGGAGATCTGGACTAGGGGTGGGAAGGCAGGGTCCAGGATGGACA